GTCCTGCTCCTGCTCCCTGCCCTGCCTGGGACCTCCCAGAGCCGAGCTGGAAGGTCCTGTCCTGAGGTGGTCTCAGTGGGGGGTTCTCCCCCAGCCCCATCAGTAGCCTGTGGTTTGCAGAGGGCCTCACCTGGCTGAGGACGTCTCTGGTTTTCTCTTTTTATTGTCCATCTGTTGTCGGTCTTCTCATTGGTCTGCAGGGTAGTGGTGGCACGACRTCGTCACATGCTTTCCCCTTATCTAGGAAGGTGACCTGTGGCTTCCTTTTTTGAGCTTGTCAGTGTTTTCTGAATGATGAACCCATCTTGCCTTCCTGGGTGAAAAACCCGTTTGGTCACGATGACTGCCGTTCTTATAAATTATGGGATTTGATTTGCTAAGTTTTGGTTTAAAAATTTGTGCCAGTGTCGTTAGGAGATGGTATATTTTTCTGGTTTGGCTTTCAAAGTGACTTCTGGCTTCCCAGGATGACCTGTGGAGAATTTCTTTCTTTTTGACCATCTGGAATTATTTGTAGAATATTAGTTTATTAGTTTTATTTATTCCTTCAATGTTTTGTAGAAATCACTGCTTCATCGCTCTGGGGCTCCAGGGTGTGTGTGTGGGGGGGGGAGAGGGTTGAACTGAAACTGTTTACTAGACAGAGGTCTGTGCTGGTTACGGAGCCCCCCGACCAAGTTTTGGCAGCCTGTGTCTTTTCCGTTTGTTCATCTGATCTGAATGGTCAAACATATTGGCATAAAGTGGCTTGAGGTCGTTCCTGGTAGCTTTTTAGTATTGCAGAATCCGCTGATGTCRCTCCAGCTCCTGCACCGGCCACCCCTCTCCCTCCTGATCAGCCTGTCCAGGGTGTCGTCAGTCTGTCAATCTTCTCAGAGAACCAGGCTTGGTGTCCACCACCTTGTTGCTTTTCTGGTCTTGATTTCGTTGGTCTCTGCTCTGATCATCCTCATTTCTCGCCTCTACCCGTGCAGTTGACTTTGTTCTTCTTTTTTGAGTTTCTGAAGATGGACGCTGCAGTCATGATCTGAGACACTTGTCATATAGGCGTTCAGTGCTGTAAATGTCCCCCGGGGCACCATGTGAGTACACTGTGTGTTCATTTGCTTCAGAATGATTTCTTATTTCCTCTTTGATTTCTTCTTGGAACGATGCATTTTTCTGGAAATTTTGAAATTTAGTTTCCAAATATTTGAGTATTTTTCCAGAGAGCTGGATTCCACTCAGGTCACAGAACCCGAGTCCCTGGAGATTTGTTGAGGCTTGTTTATGCTCCAGAGCAGGGTCTGCCTGTGTCTTGTGTGCACCCCTGAGACGAACCTGTGGCCTTCTGTTGGTGGAGCGTCGGGGCCGTGGATGAGCCCGGCAGGGGATGGTGTCTTCCTCCCTGTCCACAGATGTTCTGTCCGCTTTCCTGTGCTGATTTAGACGGGGGCTTTGGCGTCTCCAGCTCTAACTGTGGGTTTACGTATTCTCAGTTCTATGGGGTTTTTGTCTGCATTTTGAAGCTTTCAGGAGGTTCACCCATTCTGAGAGTCTTGCGCCCTCCGGGGGATGTCACCTCATGCTATGAGGTGGCCTTTCCTCGGGCTCTTCCCCACCTGCGACACACCACTTCCACTTACTCTGACCGGTGTGCRGATGGTGAGTCTTTCCCTTTCTTGTCTGTGGCTGAAGTGCGTGTTCTGCCGGCACCAGGTAGCTTGGTCCTGCTTACCATCCTGAAGTTCCTGGCCTTTAACCGGGGTGTCCAGAATACTGACATTTCATGCCGCTGGTCTGAATCTGTTTGCTGCATGGGATCCTCACTCCTCTCTGCTCTCTCCGCCCCCTTCTGGATGKGTGATCTTGGCCTTTCCATTTTGCCGCCTCCGTTGGCTTTTACCGGGTTTTGCTGTCTGGTGCTGTTTGCTGTATTTGTCGTGTGCACCTCGGTTATCACTGAGCCTCTTCAGCCAGGGACGGGCCTCTGCCCAGTGGCCTCATGCTGCACCCCTCTCCCCTACAGCCTCTGTCCTGGGGCTGTCATCCACTGGACCTGGACACTCTGAGCCCCAGGCTGTATTGATGAGCAGTTCTCTTACAGAATGAGATAAGACGTCACATGCTGACACTGTGGTCACCTTGTTTGTGACTCTGTCCTTCGCTCAGATTATGTTCCCATCTGTGTCGTCTCCTTCTGCCCTGACTTCTGTCATTTCTCCCAGTGCCCTTCTGTGGCGGGTGATTAGAGCTTTCTATGTGCAGAAGGATGTTTATTTTGCCTTCATGTGGACAGATATTTTGCCGAGCAAGGAACCCTCAGGTTTCCTCCCCCAGCACTTTGAGCGTGTGGCCCGTGTCTCCTCCTGGCACTGTGCCTGAGTGACCTTCTCCCCAGAGCTGGCTCTGACGGCGGTGGCCTCCGCACCGTTGTCTTTGTCATGTCTGAGGGTCACAGAGCTCCTTCCTGCCGCTGTGCAGGTGTGATAATTCTTGATTGTGTCACACTGTGACTCGCTTGAGTTCCGTGGCTGTTGGACACTTTCTGATCCCTATAAATATTCTTGAGTTTTATTCTGGGAAGCAGCTGAGTTACGGGGAAGCAGTCTAACTCGTCCAGGTCTGGCTTTTAAGATCCTTAGATAGAAGCAGAGCTCGGCCGGGGTTAATCACACCCTCCTGCTGCCTTGGTCACGCTGTCCAAGGGGAGCCAGCAAAGGGAATGGAGACGTGTCCCTGAAGTGAGAGGGCTCCAGGTTCTGCCCTGGGAGACGAGAGAAGAGCCTTCGGGAGACAGCATCCATGATGGGGTGATCTCGGGCAGCTGGGGTCTGCGATTCTCCGTGATGTTCTTGGCCTCCCTGGGGTGGGTAATGGGAGCTGACGTGCCCAGGGCTGGACACTGTGTCCCGCTCGTGGTGGTGTGGAGTGTGGAAGGCGAGGCGGGGCCCCGGCCACGACGGCTTCCTTGCTTTGGGGCTGCTGCGGTACCTGGGGCGAAGGCGCCAGCATTGTGCTTTCCCAAGATGCAGCTGGTGTCCTTGGATGAGCGACCCTGTGTTGCTGCACCCCTTCGATTGATTTCCAGAGCTTTGAAAATGTCGATCCTGATAATTTTTATGAAGTCATCCTTCTCTTGTTGCTTTCACGTGGAGCATGCCCTGTTTTCACTGACATCGCTGACTCTCTTTTTGAGAAATTACATAAGGAAACTGTTTATTCACAAAAATAAATCACAGGAAATCAAAGTGTGTAAGTAATACCATCAACCCCTGGCTCTCCTAGGCCAATCTGTAATATAAAACAGCGCATGTTTGCAGAACTGGACGCATACACATGGCGCCCTCGTGTGTACTGTGGCTTATTACAGTTTGCCTTCCTCTGGGCTCCGCTGGCTTTCCTTGCCCTCAGCCGCACGCGCACSGAGGGTTTCCCTTCTCAGGGGAGCACCACTCTCAGATGGAGCAGACGATCCAAGACCTAGAGGCGCCCTCTTGTGGACGTTCAGGTTGCGTTTAATCTCTTACTCTACCTACTTCCAGGTCCTCTTATGTGCTTTTTATGCACTTGCCCCATTTATTTTGGGAGGCCGGCTCCTGGGAGTGGGGTTTCCGGGTCTCAGGACACGGAGAGGAAAGGGTGCACGTGGGGAGAAGGTCTGGCCTCATTTCTGAGCTGTTCCTTCCTGYTCCTGGTTAGACATGGCGCTCCTTCAGGGAGGTTGGGTAGAAGGATCAAAGTCACCAAAAGTCTTGCAGCTATTTTTCTGGAAATCTCCTTTTTATGGCTTTTAAGTTTTTAGCAAAATCTAGTAACTTCTTGGTGGCCCAACATCTGGTGGCCTGCAGGTTCCTCATGAAGATGGTGCAGAAGGTCTGGATGTGGCCCTACTGTGTGCCCTCCTCATAGCTCCAGAGGCTGGAGGAATAGCGGGTGGTAATGCTGGCCACAGCACAGAGGCTCCTGGGGTATCACCTCTGGGTATCACCAGAGAAAGGCTCTTCTGCCCATTAAGAACAAATACAATGGGAAGTTTGTGACAAGACGTTTGTGTAGCCTTACAGACTCGCTTTATCAAAAGCTAAAATGATTAACCCGCGTTCAGTGGTTTCCTGGCTCAGCACTCTGCGGTTCATGGAAAATGGCCGCCTTCCCCTTGCCGGGTATTGGACCCTCGGCATCCATGAAGGACTTGTCCCAAGACCTTGGAGACGAAATGAAAAACCCCTGACTCCTTCAGACTCCTCATGGCTCTATAAGTAGGTCATTTATAAACCAGCAAAACACCTGTGCCAGCCAGATGCTCGTGCAGCTGTGACGCCGCATGGTGGCCTAGCTCCCAGTCCCTTCCAGGATGCAGGGAGAGCGGGCTGTYGCTGAATTCAAAGCCCAGGGGAGGAGACAGCTGATGAACTGGCCAAGAAGAAGATGTCAGTTGAGGAAGGGACAAGGCTGGYGGTGTGATGGGGACTGAGACTCCAGCCACATGGCACTGTTCTGAAGGAGGCCAACCCTGGATGGCCCGGGCGGAGCTGGGGTAGGCAGAGGGCAGGAGACTATGGACCCTGGAGGTGGGACCTGCTAGGAGTACAAGGCTCMCGTGGTCAGAAGGGGGTGGGCAGGCAGGCAGGAGGCCACTGCCATACTGGGGACCGGGCGATGGCTGCCATGGAGGCTGTTGCTGTGTGACTTACAGCCCGAACTTAGACATCTTTGAAAACAAAAAAAGTGGGTGCTGCAGGTACCAACCAGGGCTGTCCCTGTGAGCCTAGATGCATGCTCCCCGACCTATGGAGCGTGTGCCCTAGTGGGGGCTGGTGAACTGGCTTGGTGGCATTAGGCCCCTGAGCTGCCCACCGTTCCCCTGAAGGCCCCCAGGGCTGGCACACTGGGTCCTTCCAGCTCCCTCCCTCTCTCCGCTCCGGACCCCCTCCTCCTGCAGGCGTGTTACACCAGCACTCCTCTGAGACCTGTTTTCTTTGTCCCCTTATCTCCCTGTCCCCTGATGGGTCTCTTAGGAACCCTGCCCAGGAAATGCAAGAAGGAGCTGCTGGCGGTGAAGCTGAGGAACCGGCCAAGCAAGCAGGAGTTGGAGGACAGGAACATTTTCCCCAGGAGGACGGACGAGGAAAGGCAGGAAATTCGGCAGCAGATTGAAATGAAACTCTCCAAGTAAGTGGCCGCGTGCGGACGGGGTGGAGGCTGGTCACAGCCTCAAGGTCTCTAAAATCCTGCCTCCCCTTGGCGCTGGGGGTCTGTGCCCTGTCCTCACACCTCGGCACTGGCTGGTAGCTCTGCTGCGGGGGCTGCCCTGCACCTCCCAGGAGGCTGAGCGGCATTCTGGCCTCTGCTCCTTCCCATGGCAGTAAAACCATCCCAGAGTTTTCCCCAGCCCCCTGCAGGGGAAGCACTCCTGTGGTGGACAGCCGGCCGAGGTGAGCGTCACAGTCAGGAGGGACTGGCCAGGACGTGCCTTGCACAGGCTCTGGTGGGGGCAGTTCCCATTCACCTCCTACCGTTTTCCTGTGAGAATGAGGTTGTCTGGCCTGATACTGCCAGAGCCTCTGAGTTTTCCAAGAAAAACTGTACTCACATATGCACACCCGTGCATACATACACACGTGTGTACACACACACACACACACACACACACACACACACACATTGTGGAGGAGGGTGTGTTTGCCGGGTCAGTCTGTGGCCCAGAGCCATGAATAAGCACCTTCTGTACCTCCCCACCCAGCCCCGACTCCCGGTGGAGATGACTGTGCTAAGGGGCTGAGCAGTGGGCTACTGCATGCTGGTGGCTGAATGTTCTGGAAGGCAAAGTGGCCAGAAATTAGGGGTGGGACTGTGAAATGTGGTGGCTTTCAAGAGCCGGCTGCCTCCCAGGTTGCTTTCCCTGTGCCAGAGCCACTGGGGCCAGGACTCCCAGAGCTTACTCCCTATCCCAGTCCCAGCTGTGGCTACTGCCTGAGGTCAGTGGGCATTACCCAACAGAGGAAAATTGGGCTCTTCTAGCAGATGAGGGCTTCAGGTGGCCCGATGGCAGCCCCAGTTGTCTTGTGTCTCTGGGCCAAGGAAGCACCCAGGGAGCTCCCTCTACAGTCCTGGTGCACAGCACCCTCCTCTCCCTCTTCCCCTCCTATACACAGCTGGATGCCCCCAGTCCACCCTTCCCTCTTCCAACCCAGAGTTGGCTCCCTGCAGGGGGCGACAGGCTGTCAGAACTGCTCAGGTAGTGACTCCGTCTCTGCTCCCTGGACCTCCCCTTAGCGCTGGTGCCCCATGTGCCTCTGGCCTGGGTTTCTCAGCTGTGTGGCAGGGGTGATGCCAGCCTCCTGGCTCCCGGGAGAGGAGGCTGCTCAGTGTGGCCCAGGCCTGCTGCAGGTGCTGGRGGCTGAGGCAGGGTGGGCTCTGGAAGCCACAGACCCTGGTTTGCACTGATGAGCAGGACATGTTGGCGAGTACMCGCCCGGCTGTGAGGTGCGTGCTGGCTCTCAAAGCCCCTGAGAGCTCGTGGGAGATCCTGAGAACCCACTGTGCTCCCCTGAGTGCTGCCGTGCCTAGTAAACCCTGGTGGCCGCTGCTGCTGCAGCCCTAGAGACCCGGAGCCCAGCCTCCAGCCCCTCTGCTGCCCTGCCCTAAGCTCCGGGGCTGTGATGGCCTGGGGCCCAGATCCAGGTCAAGGAATCTGAGGTGGCCATGGCTCCCGGTCAAGGAGCTTTGAAAGTTCGAGGTGCAGGACTTGAGTGTCCTTGGTGAATGCTCCACTCTGGAGAGGCTGGGCAACCCCTGGCCTCCTTAGCCTGCTGGGAGTGAGGTTGTACAGCCCCTGTGACATGGGGTGGGGAGGGACATTGTGTCACCAGGCCGTTGGAAGCTGCTGCACCACTTCCCTCCCCAGAGTGCCCAGGGGCTGCAGCCACCTTCGGGTTCCTTTCTGCCCCGCAGTGGTGGGACTGGGGGCCCGGCTTTGGCTTTCCCTCTCTCTGGCCCCTCTTGAGCTGGGACATTTTTCCTCATGCTTCTCCACCTCCTCTTCCTCCTCCTCCTGAACTTGGCCTGAAGTGCTCAAGTYATCCCAGAAGCTCATGGTCAGCGGGGCTGCGCTGCTCATTGGGCCCCAGTTCCTCAGGTGCAGGGTCCTCCTCCCTGTGTGTGGCTTGCAGAGGTCCCTTGACCTACACTGGGGTCACTGGGGCCACAGCAGGGTGAGATGGAAATGCAGAGCAGGCAGCTCGGCTGATGGCACTGGACAGGTGGGTGGTTCCCCTGTGCACTTGGTGGACRCAGCTGACCGGGGCTGCCTTGCTGCCTGGTGTGAGCACAGCTCACTCCCAGGGACAGCAGAACCTTGAAGCTGAGACATGGTGAGTTGAGCTGTAGTCGGAAACTGTTTTCATTGCTGAATGCTTTTCCTGGGTGTGCAGATGGCTTGGTAGTTARGGTTGTCAGATCCTGTACTTCAGGAGCGGATGGACTTTCACTGTGAAGGGCCAGGTGGTGACCACTTTCAGCTTTGTGGCCACACTGTGTTGCACCTCCTTGACTCAGCCATGGAGTCACTGTGGCCAGCGAGGCTCTGTGAAAGAGCGGGCGTGGCCAGGTGGCAGGAGAGCTGTTTACAGTCAGGTAGCTGTTTACGCCTGGGACGAGGCGTGCTGACGCCCGGCATGGCTGCGCTCCTATCACTTGGCCTTGTGTGAAAAGCGCCCCGCCTGCAGGTCTTTACCCACCCTTGCCTTCTAACTGTGACCTGGAAAAGGCTTGTGTATTTGAAAAAGTTCTCTTTCAAACGGAAATATTAAGGGACTGGACTTAAACAAAAAATACACATAAATAACAATAGCACATGTGCTCTAAAAGTACTACCATAGTCGTCGTGATGGTGCTGGGGACAAGGGAAGCGGGAGCCCGCCCTAGCACAGGGACACTGGGAGAGGTGGGGGTGCCTGGGATCACCTGCAAGGTCCTTTGCATTGCTGTGACCAATGCCTCACAAGAATTCTTCAGAGTGGAAGGGTTTATTTTGGCTCGTGCTTTCGGAGGCTCAGTCCTGGCCAGCTGCCTTTTAGGCAGAAACATCTTGGAGCAGAGGACGGTGGAGCAAAGCTGCCCAGCTCCTGGGCGCTGCAGAGCAGAGGGAGGGACTGGGGAGAAGATGAACCCTTGACAGAAGGTCCCAGGGAACTGCTTCCTCCAAATATGTCCCACCTCCCCGTGGCCCATGCAGTTATGGACGTATTAACCCCTCACGTGGTGGAATCCACTGAGGAGTCGGGGACCTCACGATCCAACCATTTCCCTAGAGTGCCACCTCTGGTCCAGGCCGCATGGGGGACCAAACCTTCAACACGTGAGCCCTTGGGGGACACTGCAGATCAAACCGTAACAGCCTCTTATTTSAGAGGTGCCAAAACCAGAGACCCTGGGACTAGATTTATCCCATTACTCATTGGAGCCCTAACCAGTTTTAAACCTTAGAGTAGAACCCAGCAGCCCGGTGGACATTTGTCTTCATGTTTAAGAATTAGAAAGACACAGGAAACAGCAGTTGAGAAGGACCCCCGAGGTCCCGTGGGGCTCCCCAGGACCTCTGTGTGTGTCTGCAGGGTGGGCTAATTGGGCCCTTTGTCTTTGCCTCCCTTCAGAGATCTCCCACCAAATCCTGCTGAAGAACTCAGCCTCTGGTTGCCGTGGCAACTGGCCATCCTCCACTCCCGGGAGGCGCCTGGTGTTTTCGTTTGTTTTAATTTTTCATTTCCAGACCCTTCGGATCTTAAGCCCCAGTGCTCGGGCCTCTCCTGGATGAGGTGGTCGCTGTTGCCACCCCCACCCCACAAACACCCTGCATGCTTAGTCTGGGGGCCACAGCACAGTTGGGGTCACCTTTGTGGGGATGAGCCTATTTTCTGCTGGGCACTTAGCTCACCTTCAAGACCCTGTTGGTAAAGGGGCAGAGTGTTGGGGACCTGCAGCTTGGCCTCACACCGCAGGTGTGTCCTGGAAACCACCACCTAGTGCCACCTGCTTCCTGTCTGCCACACCTCCTAGGGGAGCCCACCATGGGGGAGCGGCCATGAGCTGTCAGCCATCTCTCCCGCCTTGTTAAGTCACCCTCCCTGGACCCGAGTTTGGAACTTCTATCATCTCCATCTTACAGCTGAGACCAAGCCTCAGCCAGGGGCCACAGGCTCAAGGGTCCCAGGGCACAGCGTGGTCAGGCCCTGGGCAGGAAGGTGTCATGTGGCCTCATCTATCCCAGGGTTTTGAAGAGTCCTCGGTTAGTCCGGCTTCACTGTAGGTCTTCCGGCCACCAGCCCACACACAGGACTCGGGTCGGGGAGACTTCACACTGTAGGGAGGGGAAGACTGCGCTGCCCGGCACAGGGAGGAAGGGCAGCTCCTTGGTGAACACACCCGGGAGGCGGGCAGCCCAGCACGGCCTGGAGAAGGGGGGGCCGATGGGCTTGAACGCCACCCTGCCCTCTCTGTTGTGCCCCTGTATAGCAGTGCCACCAGCCCAGGACCTCCCTCCTGGTGTGTGAAGCGGGGAAGGTGGTGGCCCTGCAGAGGTTCTAGGTGAGCGCCTATGACGAGTCCCATGAGCACGTTCCCAGAGGAGGGGCCAGGGCTGGAGTGCCGTGGTCATGGCTGTGGCCGGGCACACTCCTGGGCGGGTTGTCATTTGCACAGGGCACAAGGCCACCAGCAGGCCTCATGAGGAGGAGAGACGACACAGGGGTGGGAGGGCACGGATGCCAGCAGCTGGTGGCCAGGAGCCTCGCTGTGCTTGCTGCTGGGAGCCTGTTCTGTGGTGCTGGGACTGTGCCTGGAGACCCGGGACTGGGCGGCCTTCGTGACTGCTCCCGCGGGGAGCCCTGTGTTCTGAGGCTGCGTGTGAGAGGCTGATTACAGCTCCCTGGCACCCTTCAGGGTTGGCACTGGGCATATTGATGCCGTCCTTAACTCATCTTCCGCCTTCCCTCGGGGCGTTTTGTTCTGCATCTGAAACAGGCTGCTTCGTTCAGGTCTGAGGGGGAACACCATGTTCTGGGGGAGAATGTGTGGCTGGAGTGTCCAACCTCGTCCCCACCACAGCCGTATCCTCACCCATGGCCAGCATCTCATGGCTGCCACGCCTACCCCACAGCCGCCATCCTCTGCCC